GTATTTCAAAATCCGATTTCATTGGGTTAAATAAAACTAGTTTTAGCCAATGGTACACCTTCATTTTCGCGCCCAGTGAAAATTATAAGTAGAGTAGCTCTCGCTGTATCTATTCAGACCTAACTCATATTGGTGGGTTTCTACTTTCAGTATGTCTGGACGTGGCAAGCAAGGAGGCAAAGCTCGCGCCAAGGCCAAGACTCGCTCCTCGCGGGCCGGGCTCCAGTTCCCCGTGGGCCGAGTGCACCGCTTGCTCCGCAAGGGCAACTACTCCGAGCGGGTCGGGGCCGGCGCGCCGGTGTACCTTGCGGCGGTGCTGGAGTACCTGACGGCCGAGATCCTGGAGCTGGCGGGCAACGCGGCCCGCGACAACAAGAAGACGCGCATCATCCCGCGCCACCTGCAGCTGGCCATCCGCAACGACGAGGAGCTCAACAAGCTGCTGGGCAAAGTCACTATTGCTCAGGGCGGCGTTCTGCCCAACATCCAGGCGGTGCTGCTGCCCAAAAAGACCGAGAGCCACCACAAGGCCAAGGGCAAGTAGAAGTACGTCGTTCTTTGCAACTCAAATCTTTCCAAACCAAAAGGCTCTTTTCAGAGCCACCCACCTTATCAACAAAAGGAGCTGTGCTTTCAAAGTCACATTGTTTTGGAAAGCAAGATGCTGTTGAAAATTAATCCTAGAACAAAGTTTGGCTAAGTCATTTGCATCTAGGTTATTTTCCCCAGAGTACCTTAAATGCCTTCCAAAAAGCAAAACATTTGCTTACATAATTTAGGTTAAACTTATGAGCAAAATTAACATCCCTGTGATTCCTCTACAGGGGCAAGTGTCCATCTGAGTTAAAAAAAACTTAGCACCATCCGATTTTGGCCTACCTTCCCTTCTAATTCAATTCAGTCTTACTGCGCACCACACACATCCTCCTAAATGGGAATGGGGTAGTAATCCAGACAGGTAAACTACTTGTTTAAAAGTAACTTCAGGCAGAGAACACATTTCATAATGGACTGTTTACATCAATGATGGTGAAGTAAAGGCGGTTTGGAACTGCATTAGGAAGAGGGTGTGTCTTAAATAGGAAAGGTCGACATTGTAAGTCACTTATCAGGTTCTTATAGTCCTAGTGCTGTCAATGATTTTTGCTTCCCCTTTACCCCACCATCATCTCTCTCACCTTCTCTCAGATCACCAAGTCACCCTAGCTAGAGAGGGCCTTCAATTCCTCTCCACATCAGCTCATGAATACATTTTGAATACATTTTAATGAAAATGAATTTCTTATGAATACATTTTCTTATGAATACATACAATTTCTTATGAATACATTTTAATGAAAATGAATTTCTATGGCATTCCTAGTCCATTAGAATAGGTTTTCTGAGTCTCCTGAAATATTTGTTTTATACACACACACACACACACACACACACACAGGCCCTCTGCAGTGGAAGCGCCTAGTTCTAACCACTGGACTGCCAGGGAATTCCCAGTATATCCTATATTTAAATCTGAACCTCAATCACATGTAAATAATATTCATTGGAATAAAAGTGACCTCAGCAGTCACAAACAGGACGTAAATGTTACCTTTTTTCCCTTTTCTTTTTGGCTTCATTATTTGATATTGGAAGACCCGAATCCTGATTTCAGTGAATCTAATTATTCAATTTTTCCCTCTTAAAAACTCATCTGCGGGACTTCCCAGGTGGTCCAGTTGTGAAGAATCCGGCTTCCAATTCAGGGGACGCGGGTTCGATCCCTGGTCAGGGAACTAAGATCCTACATGCCACATGCTGCTGGACAACTAAGCCCGCGCTCTGCAACTAGAGAGAGAAAACCGGCACGCCACAACTAGAGAGAAGCCCGCGCGCCGCAACAAAAGATCCCGAGCACCGCAAGATCCCGAGCACCGCAACTAAGACCCGACGCAGCCAAAAAATAAAAAAATTAAGAAAAGAAAGTCGTCTGCATTACTTGAGTTTGCATATTTTAAACAACTATATCTCAGAAGTAGAACTGTCAAGTAGAGTAAGTGATACAGCTCCAAGGAAGGCCTATGAGTTCTTTCAATTTTTAATAATAAAATATGCTGTTGTTATCATCGTTTTTGATATTGATCATGCAATTACTAACACTTGCTTCATTGCATCATTCTATTCCCCATGGCAAGAACCACCACATTGTTAAAATAATGCCTTTACAATTATTGATGTGGTTTTGATTGATAAAATCAATGAACCTATAATCAAATAGTTGATAAATGAATACAAAACTTTGTTTTAAATAAAATAAAATATTCAAGTGTGATATGTCATTGTTTATAATTCCACGTGTTAACTGAGTTTTTTAAATTAATGGACTATTAACCCAACTTCATTGGATAAAGCACTTACTGTTCTTTACTATCTACATAATCAGAAAAAAAGTAAAACTTGTATTTAATAATGGAGATAACAAAACTTTCCAAAAATCTTGCCAAAATAATTTAGATATTTCTAATTTCAATTAGATCCTGAAGAACTTTTTAGGACTCCATAGTTTATACTGTAAAGTTGTTTTCATAAGAGGTACAGTTCAATTTTAGTAGCACAAGATTTATGAAAGTATTTTTTAAACTTTATTCCTGGAGTTGGTCTTCCCATTAATTTCCCTTTCTGCAGACTCTGGACTACCATGAAAGAACCTAACAGTATCTTCCCATATTAGATTTGTTATATATTGTCGGGGAGCAAGGATTTTCCTCTACCCTTCTAAGGTTCTTTTAGCTGGTCTAATCATCAAGTGGACATGAGAAAGATTAACAGGAGAAAGTCAAGTTTAATTTCATACGTACGGAAACCCCACATACATGAGAAGTTCAAAAACAGAAAGGTAAATATGCCTTCCTGAGCTAAGGAATGGCTTAGTGCCTTCCAAGCACAAGAGGATAATTCACATGGACAATAAGAGGAAAATCAAATATTGGGTAATTAGTTTGCCCTGCCATGAAGCTGGCTCACTCAGATAAAATTTTTCTCCGGTAATAATTCTCATAGTGGGAAAGACCCCCAATTCAAATCCTTCTAAGTAGTTAAGGAAGGGGCAGAAGTTTATCTTGAGATTGCAGGATCTCAATTGCCTTTACCTCAAAATAATCAATGTGCAAATGTGGCACATTTTGGGGAGCTCATTCTGAACACTTTTGGTATCTTATCCATTAGTGTACAAATTCCTTTAGAGTGGAGACTGGGTTTTATTCATATTTGCATATCCCCAGATCCTATTTCAATGACAAGCCCATAAAATATAGTCCGAAAATTCTGTTAATTTTATAATAATAAAAATCCTTATAAACTAAATAAGTGATATAAATAAAGGCAAAAAAGAAGTTGAAAGTTAAACAAGGATGAGATCACATGGAGGAAAATGTAGGGATTTTCAAATGAATAACTTCAAAGTAGCTAAACTGGAGGAAGGAGCCTAAAGATCAGAGGGCTCCAACGAGCAAAGACCAGTTGTAAAGAGTTACACTGCCTTTTCACTTCATGATATTAATTTATCTGTAAAAAAATTGATCTGCATGACCTTATTAATTTGGTGTACCTCCTACTTCCTTCTCCAGTCTAGCAACAGTCTCACATTTAAATAAATGCTACTGATGTTAATGGATATTAATTACCTGGTGGAATAACGAAGACACTGAATGATTTTGGGGACCAATAACTTGGAAGAAGGCAGGGACTCTGGACAAGGGGCAGACACTAAGTATAGAGAATTAGGGAGCCTTCAACAATACGAATCTCTGAGGCTCCCAAACAATGCCTTACCCCTAAGGTTGTTTTTTGTGGTTTTTATAAATTTCTCCTCTTCCAGACCTTTATCTATGCTTACTATTTCAATTGTTTATATGAAAACATTAGTTTCACTGGTTCTGTGGCTGACACCCTGCTGTAATTAAAAAAAAAAAAAAAAGACTAACAAGAGAAAAACAAAGTGTAATACTGTGTACGTCTCATGTATACATGGAATAAACAGAGGGGAACTGAGTAAAACTCCCAGAAGTGGCCCGAACCGCCACTTTAAATATCATCTTCAGCTAAAGACAAAAGACATGGGTGTGGGGTGGGGGGCTGTTGTAGGAGGTGACCCAGAAGAGCACAGTAAACAAGGGGAGGCCGATTAAATCCTGCACCTTCTCCATTGGTAAGTTTCTTGTGAGTTATCTTTCTCTTCCTGGCACATTAAGTGAGTACCCTTACAAATGGAGATTTCTCATATAAATGTAAATTTCCCTTAAAAAGGGGTAAATTCTATTCTGTTTTTAGAGCTTCTGTATCTGCTTTTTCTCAGAAACAATCCGCTCAAAATAATCCTTATGCTAAAGGATATTTGGGAGCGGTGTGTTCTGCTATCCTTCATTAGAAATGTCAGTATAGTATATACCCAAGTAGATGAAGAAGTAAATTTTTCTTAAATGGAAAAAAATGATTTATTAAAAAAAAACAACTGGCTGCTAGGGAGTTGGTTAAAACTGTATTAAAGAGCATTCATAAGAATAACAAGCAGACATAAAAAATGTATTTTCTCTTTAAATAAGGGAAATTGGTTAAAATGTAATCAAAGAGGTTCCAAAATGCCATTTGCGGCATTGCATACATTTTCTTTGAAAGAATATGTGTTTTTATCTGTTCACCAAAATATTGATACGAAATTAGCTACCAGCAATGATCTATGTGTGGTGAGATAACGAGTTTTACCCTTTTCCACAATATTTATGTTTTGCGTTCGCATTCAAAAGCAATTGTTAAAGCCTTAAACACGGTAACAAAATAGTTGCCACCGTGTGAAACACAGTACAAAGGAACAAAAAAGGCTTTTTTTTTGGTCAAATTCCCCTCCCCCCTCCCGGGGCGGGACTTCCCGCTACCTTTCTTCAGGTTCTCAGTTCGGTCCGCCAACGGACGTATAAAGGCCTGCATCTGGGAGGCCTGGAAGTTAATCTCTGTTAATCCTCCAGGTTTTCGGCATGTCTGGTCGTGGCAAAGGCGGTAAGGGCCTTGGAAAAGGGGGCGCTAAGCGTCATCGCAAAGTTCTGCGCGATAACATCCAGGGCATCACGAAGCCCGCTATTCGCCGTCTGGCCCGGCGTGGAGGTGTGAAGCGTATTTCTGGTCTCATCTATGAGGAGACGCGCGGGGTGCTGAAGGTGTTTCTGGAAAACGTAATCCGGGACGCTGTTACCTACACAGAGCACGCCAAGCGCAAGACTGTTACCGCCATGGACGTGGTCTACGCGCTCAAGCGCCAGGGACGCACTCTCTACGGCTTCGGCGGCTGAGTGTTCGCGCTCTTTGTTCAACAAAAGGCCCTTTTCAGGGCCCCCATCTTTTCAACTGAGGAGCCGTGATGCTGGTTTGTTTTGAGCTTGCTTTTTCACGCTTCACATTCTCCACACACTTAGGCTCTTAGCTTTAGCTCTTTACCCTTAACTGTTTAGGAGCACAACTTACACCATTTACTGTGAAAGTTTCTTTGCTCGAGCACAGAAAGCTTAGATGGTCATAAGCTGGAAGCAAACGGGCCACCCAAATACATATGACTTGAGAGTTTTACCAGAGTGGCATTTCTCTTTGTAGATGAGTGCAAGCGATTGTTTAGAAAGGGATGGAAAAGAAGTGCACCTGGCTCCTCACTAATTAGTAGCATATTTAGTATACATAAACGATTCGATCACAATAACCTATTCTAGCTCCATGTGTCCTCTGCTCAAGAAACAAGCCCGTGGCTGTTAAATAGCCTTTAACACTCCAGTATGGAAGGCTGATAAAGGACAGGCTCACTGTAAAATCTCAGAATAGTTGGTGAGGGTGGGATGTGATTAAAAGGCATTTCAACTAAATTATAAAAGAAACAAGGTCGCATTACAGAAATGTTCTCTACGGTGAAAAAATACAGGCAGCCCTCTAAACTAGGAGAACTAATTAAAATAAGATCCTTGGTAGAGTTTTTCCTAACAGATTAGGAAATCCAGACCTAATCTCAAAGGAGGCCTTAGTATCTTCCCACAGGTCTTAGAAGCTATAGGAAAAAACCCAAAGCCAAAGGTGAAAGCTTGACTAATGCAGAGACACAGACTAAAGGACAATTGCCCACATGTACAAAAAATGAGAAAACAATGACCAGATTTACATATTTTATAGCTGAAGTTAAAAATTCCCTTGCCTCACCAGTAAATCTTCATAATGTCAAGTGCTAAATACTCATCTAGCCAGTCTCCCAACTCAGGAGTGTTTCCTCTTTGAAATACAATCAAGGAAGATAACACAATCTGTTCCGGAAAGAGGCCTAACTTCCCTTATCACAAGATTCCAAATTGCTAAGCCTACATAATGTTTGAATGGGTTGTACCCATTTAACTGTATAAAAGAGATTTCTCTCTTTGCTTTGCAATCCCTTTAGCAAATTGCCTGTGACGTGCTTCACGTTCTGGTTTAATGCTTATGCAATAGTAAAACTTTTCTGTTCCTACTCCCTTTTTGGAGAGCTTTTCTGAATTGGGAGATTTTGCTTTTAATTATATTTCCCCAACATTTTCTGAGCGTCTATTACTATTTGTGGCTTTCCACTGATTTCTCGAATAATTTTGACAAAAGTCTCTCAGTTCTTTAAAAAAGAAAAAAAAACCCAACAGTCAAAAAAAATCCCTAAGCATTCTGTGTATAGTTTAAATGCTATCTTATACCCAATATTGTAGTATTTGGCTGTAGAAATCTCTTATTACATTCATAGCCTGATTTCTTTTTGATATTACTTTTTCTAAATCCAGACCCCCAAATTTTGAATAATGAAGCCATTAAGGTATTATCTATTTATATCTAAGTTATTTTTGTAGTTGTGACCACTAGACCACAGGTAAGGTTTGTTCTCTCATTTATATTTGTAATGAAGCATATACAGTTTTGAGAATTGTTCTCTATATATTGTGCAATATTTGAACAAAGAGGAAACTATACATCCATCCCTAAGTTAACCAGATAAAATGTTATTGATATAAATGTTTAACGGTTATACTTTTTAAGTTGGGTAGACCATAATTATATGCATATAAAAGACACAAAAAACTGCCAACAGATTTTGTTCCTAGGTATAAATACCTTCTCATTTGGTGACAATAATAGCAAATAATTTATGGCATATATCAAAGGGCACTCGGAGGTATGTCAATGTCCTCACTATTCATAATACATATCTAAATTGGGGATTCTATCCTACTCCATACTGATAACGTTGATTAATATAATACATTGACCAGACGTTTTCTCTTTTATCATCAACAGATAGTTGCTGGTTTTCCATACAGTTATCTCTAAAGGCCCTTGCTACAAAACAGATCTGAAATTGAGTTTTCCAGAAGAAACATCAAAAGAACTTTAATAAATAACTGTACTTGATACTGTCAGGCTCTACCACAGGTCTGATCTAAGATTTTGCAAGCCGTATTAGAAGCAGGCTGCTTAACCCAAGATCAACAAAGCAATGATTAATCACTTTTTTTTTTTTTTGGCCACGTGGCATGAGGGGATTTTAGTTTCCCCACCAGGGATCGAACCTGTGTCTCCTTCAGTGGAAGTGCGGAGCCCTAACCACTGGACCGCCAGGGAATTCCCAAGAATTAATCACTTTGGACTGAATGAACTGATTTGATTGTGGCTAAAGGTCCTTTACTAAAACCTTTTTATACTTTCAGTTGCTATATTTTTCAAACTGACTCCTCAAATTTTAGAAAAATATTCCATTAAAAGAACTTTTGATAAACAGTAATACTTAACAATGACTTTTGAAAATATAAAATATAGATTGATTGGCCCTGTGTACAAAACATTACAGAAGAGTGATTGGATTTTATACAGAATCCTTTTTCATAAGAATGTGGTTATTAATATAGGCTTAGAACTAACCACTCCTCTTAAACAAGTAAGCCTTCATCCCTTTTTCACAACGATGTCATATTAATAAAAAACAGACCAAGTTAAACAAAAGATAAAAATTTAAATACTCTATTATAAAATACCTATCTAAAGGTCTGAGCATACTTAATCAAATTCTTGGCTTCCTAAATATTATGAAATATGTATTTCTTATACTATTTGCAGAGATTTAATTCTGCTACAGAGAAACAAATGTGATGGATGAAGCTCATAAGATGTATTAAGCACTGTATAGATAAGTAGTTAGAAAGTAGAGCACATGTGTGTTAAGTATAAGGAGAAAGGACCAGGAGATCTGCACGATCCTTGAGGCACTAGTTATACCTGATACACCTGGACACTAAATATGCCTGGGATACATGAGGCACTAAATATTCCTGATACACTAAATATATTTGGGATATGGGTTATCCATTCTGGCCCCCAAGCGTCCTTTGCCCAAGATAACACAAATAAAACCCATGGCTATATGGCAGGCAAATTGGTGAGCAAGCAACAGATGTGGTCAGGGGTAATAATCTCTCTTTGATAGGTACTGGCCAGGGTCTATCTGTGGACCTTCTTGCCCAAACCTGGACTCTGGGCTTCATAACCAAACCATCAGTAAGGAAGTTTGATGCAGCAGAAAGATATCTGAACATTGTGTAACCCATGATTCAGCTACTGTGGCCCATCTCCTTGAAACCTTATTTTAAGTTTTAACTTACCTCACATCTTTCCCCTTGCCTCAGGTTATGTGTTTAAATTGATTTAAAAAATCATGCATCCCCAACATTTTGATTTAATTTGAGTCTTTTTATGCCTTGGGAGAGCTTGCCTGGTAGTGTGTTTGGAGGCTACCAGGGCATCAAGATACCTTCCCACAGGACAGTGGGGAGTCAAATGTGGAAGTAGGAAAAATATTAAGGAAACTGAAGCCAGTAACCTAGGGGAGAGAAGACGGTCCTCAAGCCAGGGTGGTAGCATAGTGGTACAGAGAATTGATGTTTCCATATATATTTTGAAGGCAAAATCAAGAGGATTTCTAGAAGAATTGAATGGACAAGAATGAAGTAATTATCAACTAAATGGGGGAGTGTTTTAATGAAAGATTAGGAGGGGGGAATACTAAGGATTCTATTTTGGACATGTTAACTTTAAGATGTCAAATATCCATGTGAAGAAAAAATATAGGGAACTGTGGGGAATTCTCTGGCTGTCCAGTGGTTCAGACTCGGTGCTTTCACTGCTGAGGCCTGGGTTCAATCCCTAGTGGGGGAACTAAGGTACTGCAATCCACTCGCCCCCAACCCCCACGCAAAAAAAAAAGAAAAGAAAAGAAAAAGAGAAAGAAATTGGGTGTATGTCTGTCTGGAGTTTAGGAGAGAAGCCTGGGTTGGCAATATAAAATTGGAAATCATTAATGTACGGATGGCATTGAAAGTCTGAACTTGGTGAGATCTTCAAGCGAATGAGTACAGAAAAAGAAGTAGTAAAAACTTAGCCCTGTATCCCCCAACATTAAGGGTCTGGGGAGAAGAGATGAGCTAACAAAAGATACAGAGCCTCTGGTAAGAGAGAACCAAGTGAAGAAAGTATATCAAAGAGAAATTGTATGGTCAATTATGTCAGTGTTTCCAATAGGTCAAAAAAAATGAAGACTAATAATTGGCCATTGGATGTAGAAAAATGATTGTATATTAGTTTATTTTCTGTCTTTCCCTAGTAAAAAGAGACTTTTTTTTCCTTGCTGTATCACTAGTGCCAAGTACAATGCTTGAAGCACAGCAGTCATTCAGTAATATTAATGAATAAATGAATTAATTAACTAACATTTCTGATGCTATCGACTGAGAGCTTCCCTGTATACTCACTAGGTTAGAGTTCTGAACAAGCAATGAAACTGTGTTAAGTAATACATGCTGATTCTCAGGGTATTTAGTCACGATACTTTTTTCTATTTGTTAAGGTTTTAGTGTAGACTATGTTGTGTTTTTTGTTTTTTGTTTTGTCTGCATTGGGTCTTTGTCGCTGCGCATGGGGTTTCTTCAGGTGTGGCAAGCAGGGGAGCGGAGGCTACTCTCTGTTGCAGTAAGTGGGCCTCCCATTGCGGCACCTCCTGTTGTGGAGTATGGGTTCCAGGAGCATGGGCCTCAGTAGTTGCAGCATGCCGGTTCAGCAGTTGCAGCATGTGGGCCCTAGAGCGTGCGGGCTTCAGTAGTTGTGGTGCACGGGCTCAGCGGTTGTGGCTCTCGGGCTCCAGAGTGCAGTGTCAGCAGCTGTAGCACACGGGCTTAGCCGCTCTGCAGTATGTGGGATCCTCCCCGACCAGGGATGGAACGCGTGTTCCCTGCATTGGCAGGCAGATCACCAACTACTGCGCCACCAGGGAACTCCTATGGTTTCTTTTTTAAGGGTAGTTTTCCCAGTACAGCTGGAAAGGAAAGCCAAGAAGGTGTCCTTGGTTTCTGATATCTCGATTCTATAACCGCTGAACCTAGCAGATGTTTATAGCAAGAGCTTTTTATGCAACAAACTTTAATCCATTAACCACAGATAAAATAAACCCATGAATTTTGAACTAAATCCTCTCTTGGGAGAAAGGTAAGGACTTGAACTCTTGGACAGGCCCTCTCATTGCAACAAAGGATGATTGATCCTTTGTCCCTTAATTTGGGTCTGAGCTTTGGGTCTGAGAGTTCCACAGCCTTTGAGAGCATTCTCTTAAAGTTGAAATTGATGAAAAGATGGTATTAAAACACCGAGATTTCCCCTTAGATTTGAAAAGGCCTGTGGGACCACTAGAAGTGGGAAATGCTAATGAGTTGTATTTGAGGTGACCCAATCCTACAGATTCTGATTAACTGGTCTAGGGAAAGACCAGTTATTATTTAAACAAACAACTTTTTCATAGGAATTCTTATGTGCCTTCACATAAGAGACAGATCTTTTGTCCACATGATGTCTGGGTTTCTCTTTGGAAGTTAAATTCTATGGCTATTCAGAAAAAATGCGATGAGGTTGATAGAAAGTGAGAAAGAGAAAGACAAAAATCACAGCAAACCTATCCAGTTATGCTGTGATCATCCTCAGAAGGCTAAGGAAGGCTCCTCCTGCCTTTTATTTACCACCCAGAATGTGAGTACAAACTTACAGGTGTGACACTGTAGGAATAATCAAGATAATATCTCCAAGTGCAAAAGCTGGTTCAAAAAACATATTGACTTTAGGGTATTTCCCATGGCCCCATAACAGACTAGAGAATCTCATCTGGAATGTGGTTGTGATGCAATTAGGGATGAGGCATAGATGAGTAATAACTGCTTCACTTTGCACTTACTATTTGTCAGGCACTGGTGCTTAAGCACTTTTCATTTATCAACTCATTAATCCTCAGAACAATCCTTTGAGCGAGGTATCAATATCATTATCACACAATTGTATAAATGGAGAAACTAAGGCCCAGAAAAGATGTGTAACTTAACCCGTTCTTACCACAGGAGAATGGCGGTACAGGTTTAATCCCAAACCGTCTGCTTCTAAGGATTATGCTTAAACGTTTCACCATCTTGCATCCCTTTGGTAGTAAAGTCACAAAACAGTACATTTACATCTCCTAAAATATTTATTTTTATCTTTTACATCCTAAACAGAGATTATTTTTTATGTCCAAAATATATGTGGGTCTGCTTAGCGGTGCCAAGTCGGACGATTTTTCACAAGTAGAAAACAAGTACACTTTTCATTAACATGCTTACATTAATGACAAAAAAATTAAGAAAAATATGTCTAAAGAAAATATATGTGCTCTCCATACGTGGACCAGGAACTTTGTACTTTTGCTTTATCTGAATCCATTACTATAACTGTCCCTCCCCAGTTCTTGTCACCAGTGACATTCACCACTTCACCAAATACATAAATTAAGACTTAATGAGCGCTAATTATGAGCCTCGCCTTTTAAAATCAACCAAAAAACCCTTTACTCACTTGACTCTATGAGTGGACTAATTTAAGTTTAAAATGTTCTCCCTATCCTTTGTGGTAAATAAGTGATCCAGGGGCTTCCCTGGTGGCGCAGTGGTTGAGAGTCCGCCTGCCGATGCAGGGGACACGGGTTCGTGCCCCGGTCTGGGAAGATCGCACATGCCGCGGAGCGGCTGAGCCCGTGAGCCATGGCCGCTGAGCCTGCGCGTCCGGAGCCCGTGCTCCGCAACGGGAGAGGCCACAACAGTGAGAGGCCCGCGTACCAAAAAAAAAAAAGTGATCCAGACCAGTAATAGGCTACTGACTATCCCTCCAGGCACATAGAACATGCCTGCAAGCTTGATTTGACAAGATAGTTATTACCTTTAGAGAGGCAGAGATGTCACTAACTAACCTTAAAGACGAATTCTTTTTCTATAAAACACTTTCCCACTTTGGGATCTGAATACACTTTTTCCAAGTAACACTGCCAGACTCCAGATTGTGTGTGACTCCTTGCCAGTGGTACAGTGTATTAACTGATACAAAGTTACCCCACTTTTAATAGGTGGTTCAACTATAAAAATTACTTTGTAAAAGAAAAAGTTACGTAGTAGCGAACGTAGGCATCTGCAAGACTTCCCCCACTACCTCCTTTAGCAAATTACACAACTAAAGATTCCATACCAACTCAGCGTGAATATATCCTTAGGTAAAGAATTGACTGGATAGCGATCCTAACGACCCCTGCTGTACCTAGGCGGGATTGGGAACACACGCGTCCCAGAATAAGCACAAAACAACTTCGCAGGCTAAAGTACAATAATTGAATACTCTTTTTAACATCTCCAAGCAATGAAAAGATTAGAGAATCACAGCTCCTTACAAGCGAAAAGTAGGAAGCCCTGAAAAGGGCCTTTATATTAACAGAACAGACACAAAACTGAACACTCTAGCCGCCAAAGCCATAAAGGGTGCGTCCCTGACGCTTGAGCGCGTAGACCACGTCCATGGCGGTGACGGTCTTGCGCTTGGCGTGCTCGGTGTAAGTGACAGCGTCCCGAATCACGTTCTCCAGGAACACCTTCAGCACCCCGCGAGTCTCCTCGTAGATGAGGCCAGAGATGCGCTTGACGCCACCACGCCTAGCCAAACGCCGAATAGCGGGCTTAGTGATACCCTGAATATTATCGCGCAGCACCTTGCGGTGGCGCTTGGCGCCCCCCTTTCCGAGACCCTTCCCGCCCTTCCCACGACCCGACATAACGAGCACTCACTGAAGCTCAACAAAACTTTGCTTCTACAGCTCGCGGATGCAAGCTTTTATACGTCCGGTAGCGGACCGAACTGAGAACCTGAAGGCGGGAAGACCCTCCCTAAGCGGGGGAGGGGAATTTGACAAAGAAAAAAGAAAAAGAGGCCTTCTCTGTTCCTTTGTACTGTTTCACGCTGTGGTAACTTATTTTGTTACCATGTTTTAAGGCTTTAACAATTGCTTTTGAATGCGCACGCAAAACATTAGTGTTGTGGAAAAGGGCAAAACTCGTTATCTCACCATACAGAGATCACTGCTGGTAGCTAATTTGGTATTTTGTTGAATAGATAAAAGCACATATTCTTTCAAAGAGAATGTATGCAATGCTGCATATGCCCTTTTAAAACCTCTTTACACTGGTGTATTTAACTCAATTTCCCTTGAGTTTTTAATAACAAGTTATTAATGTCTGCTTATTATTCCTTCCCATTAATTCTCCATAGCACAGTTTTAAACAATTCCCTAGCAATTCCTTAATCAGCCAGATTTTTAAAATAATTCTTTTCTCCACCAATGAAATGCCTTTAACATCATACTTGGAGCTATTACTAAAATTCTATTCTGTTCTATATACTATGGTTTCCCAAATCTATTTGTTACATTCAGAATTAATTTGGGGATAGATGATTTTTTTTTTGTCTGGTTGATCAAGTGGTCAGCAAGCAAGATTTATGGGTTTATTTGCCAGTGATAAAGTACCCTCTTTAATTTCTGTAATGTACTGGGGACACTAGTTCTTCCTATTGTGTTTCCATTAAAATGTTTTAAACACTGTAACTTGTTTCAAGAAAAAAGAAAACGCCTTTGGGTTTTTCAGAGGCACCAGGCTTTCCTACCAACATAGGAAAGGTATAATTTCAAAGAGAACTGAAGAGGTGAAGGAAAAATTTTTAAATTTCCAACTCTTTTCTCTTACAAGAGAAAGGACTCAGGTTTAGTTTTCAAACTGCTCTTGTTTACTCCATGACTAAAAGCCATCTAATCCCTTTAGCAATGCTTATCATTTTACAGTTACGTATGGGAGGTGGTGGAGCAAGGTGGGGTACATTGAAAGGAGAGGGAACTAGGTGAGAAACTAGAAAATGAAACAATCTACATTATGCTGTCTCGTAACTCTTAAGTCATCAAGTCCTGTCAGCACTCGATCTTAAAATTACCCCAGCTTCCAACTATTAAGGTTGAGATTTTAATAATGCATAAGGTTGTGGGCCCGTTGCAGCTTAGGGAGGAAGCACTCAGACACACTGGCTGCGAATTCGGCCTCCTTGTCAACTAATACCTTCGACTTCTGAATCCTCCAGGAGTAAGTAATTCCTTACTTCAATTTCATAGGCAGTAAGTAGCTAAGTAGCTTATTGGATAGGACCCAGAAACTAGGTAGCTTATCGGGATAGGATCCAGAGATAAGATTAAAGAAAACCCCAGGAGTTATTGCGATGCTCTGGCTACTTGCAGTGCAATGAGTTATCTTCAAAAACTTCTGCAAACTGAAGGATACATGCATTATTAGTTCTTCACTAAGTACACGAAATCTACTTATAATAGTGAAAGGTAACTGTAACGAACATGCAAAAATGCATGAGAATCAAGGCTCCCCAAAAAACGTACAAACTTTTAATCTAAAGCTATACTTACACATTCAAGAGAACATGAAACATTTCAAAACAGACCTAACAACGGACAAGCTCTTTTTCGGAAAGTGTAGGTGGCTCTGAAAAGAGCCATTGGGTGTGAGAAAGTCTGATCAATCGCTCTGCAATCAGTGACTCACTTGGAGCTGGTGTACTTGGTGACAGCCTTGGTGCCCTCAGACACGGCGTGCTTGGCCAGCTCGCCGGGCAGCAGCAGGCGCACGGCCGTCTGGATCTCCCTGGAGGTGATGGTCGAGCGCTTGTTGTAATGCGCCAAGCGCGACGCCTCGCCCGCGATGCGCTCGAAAATGTCGTTAACGAACGAATTCATGATGCCCATGGCTTTAGACGAGATACCGGTGTCCGGGTGGACCTGCTTCAGCACCTTGTACACGTACACCGAGTAGCTTTCCTTGCGGCTGCGCTTGCGCTTCTTACCATCTTTTTTCTGGGCCTTGGTCACCGCCTTCTTGGAACCCTTCTTCGGGGCAGGAGTGGACTTGGCAAACTCAGGCATGGCGAAGAACTGCGATACAAGGGATAAACGAAAGATCAGGACGCCAACAGGTACCTCTTTAACACCAAGGCTTTATGCAAATGAGGTGCAGTAAAGGTTTCTAGTGATTCTTCTCCAGTGAAGTCATAGCTCAGTTTTGCCCAATCAAGGTAAGCATCCTGCATAGTCGCGTTTCCATTGGTCTAAGTGAAACTAAAATGTTAGCCAATCGTATAGCTTCCTTTTCGCGCCCAGCAGGGGCTATAAAAGGTGCGTTTTAAAGTTTTTGTGTCAGTTATCTTTGGGAGCGTCGGTTAGTGCCGAATTATGTCTGGGCGAGGCAAACAAGGCGGCAAGGCTCGCGCCAAGGCTAAGACTCG